CAATCCCCTCCTCAATCTTGTCTTCCATTAGGAATCTCTTGATCAGAGTGTTGAAGCTGATGATGTTTGGGACACAGCCGTGGTTTTTCATCTCCTTGAACATCTGCAAGGCCAACCCTAGCTGGGAATTTCTGCAATGCCCACTAATCAAGGTGTTAAACGTAATCACATCGGGCTTAACACGATCCTTGATCATTCTATGATAGAATTCAATAGCCTTATCATAATGCCTGAACTTAACAAATCCGTGGATCATAATGTTATACATAGCTGCTTCGGGCTTACCGTCAATCAACCGCTTCATAGTGTCGAATGCAAGCAGAGCATCGTCAAATCTGCCGGATCTGCAGAACGCGTTGATTGCGAAACGGAAGATCGGTTCGGTTCTAGGGCAGGAGAAGATGCCGTCGGCGCAGGGGCAGGGGTTGGCGGCGATGAACTGGAGGAGGGACGAGAGGGAGTCGAGGCGGTGGGAGATGGCGAGCGTGCGTGACATCCATTCGAAGGTGGAGTGGTCGTGGCGGAAGGAGTCGACGGTGGCGGCGCAGCGGAAGAGTTGGAAGTCGAGGTGGGTGAGGGTGGGGTGATGGTGGATGCGATTTCGGAGAAAGGAAAGGAGATCGTTAGGGGTGAAGGAAGGGGTTAGGTGCGTCTTGACTAAGCGGGTCAGCTGGGTTTGGGTGGCTGCCGGAAGATTTCCGATGGCAGTGTCGAGAACTGACAGCGGCAGTTTGTGCGGCGGAATTAGGTTGTGAGCGGCGGCGGCAGCGGCGGGTTTAGGTATAAGTTTCGGAAGTTTCCCGGGAGCCATGTTTTTCACTGCCGTCATCGCGGTTCAGAAAAAAAAATGACAGATGGCAAAGTGAGTAAGGTCATATTTTTTCATTTTTTGATCTGATCTGGTCTAATCTGATCCAAAAAAAATTAATACCCGAGTAATAAGTATTAAATGTAAGAGCATGCGCAGCGACGAGGATTTCCTCGCTCGCTGTGCCACATCAGCATCCTCGGCAATTTGCCTCGCGTGGCTTCAGCCTCCCTCCACGCCGAGCGTGTGAGGCGCGAGGCATCTTCAATTTTTTTTAATTTTTTTATTTTTTTATTTTTTAGAAGAAATAAAATTTTTTAAAAAAAGAGTACATCTATATAAAAAAAGATAAATGAAATAACTTTTAATAATTAAAATGCATTAAAAAATCATAAAAATTGACAAAAACAATGACTTGCCACTGCACGAGATGCCTCTCCACTCACTTACCACACGCTGACTGGATTGTCTTTTATAGGTTGAAATGTGCCACGTCAACGTGTGGCATTTCATTTCGTTACTTGCCATTGCCCGTGCTCTAAGTTGAAGAGAACATGTCCAAACTCTTATCTTGCAAATTGTGCAGAAGTAAAATTTTGGAAAATAAACTTTGTATACTAGGAAGCTCATTCTATTACTCTGACCTCCAGCTTGGACGTACGACTTAATATATATCGCTTGCCACTAATCTTTTCGTCATACCCCAATTAGAAATGTGATTCTTTGATAGCGTCGACATTAGTTATACTTACGGATACATAGTCAAACTCTCAAATCTATAAATAAGTAAGAGTATGTCTATTTTTTATTGATAGGTAGACCTGATCAAAGTGCGGGCCGGGTTTCGGGCCGGACCGAGACACAACATTACAAGAATTCTCTAGGCTCAAGCCTGGCCCGTATAACGGGCCTAACAATTGAAGCCCGAGCCCGACCCAGTCCAGCCGGCAAAACCTTCTAAATAATTTAAAAATAATTTTTTAAAGTAACAAGTTAATATATTAGATATTTGATATAATAACTATAATGAGTAAATAAAAGAAAAAATTAATATATAAATGTATTTTGTTTGATATTGCTACTATGTATGGAGTACAAAATACTCTCTCCATTCACAAATAAACTTTTCATTGCGCGTTACGATGTTTGACTAAAGTTATTTTTAAATAATTTTATATGAAAAATGATGTGAAATTTTAAAATAAAAATTACATATCAAAAAACTATATCAAAAGATCTTGACATGACTATATTATTTTATCAAATGGTTAACGAAAACAAGGCAACAAAGTAAATAAAGTTTGACCTTGTGAATAATGAATGGAAAATTTATTTGTTGACGGAAGGAGTGTTATTTTTTGGAATAGAATAATCAATTTGTGATACGTTGCAAACAATACTGAGTAATAAAGATGTACTCATTTAATTATATATACTTATAATTTATTTTTCTCTCCGTAGAAGTATGTATATGTCATGTGTGTTTATGATAATTTGAAATAATTTTGTTCTTTGTTATTATTATTATTAATATTATTATTATTATTATTATTGTTGTTGTTGTTGTTGTTGTTTTATTACTCCGTATAATTATACTAATAATAAATATTTTAATTTATTTGGACCGGACCGGCCTGTGTGCTTGAGCATAAAACCCGAGCCCGGCCCTAAAATATTCGGGCCGCCATTTATAAGGCCCCAACCTGACCCATACCCTAAAATGTCAAACTTAAGCCTGCTATTTTACGGGCAAGCCAGATACCCAGGCCCGTGAACGGATCTATTGATAGGGCAACTTGAACTGAAGACCTCCCACAAGAATATAATCTTAAATGTGGGCTTGGACCCCGTTCAATTCTGCCACATAATCCACACCACCTCTAAACCCACCTACATATATACAGATACCCTCTATTCCACCGCCCTTCAATGATGGGTTAATGCCCGTATAGGTAGACCGATTTGCTGGTTTAAGAAGAGGATGTCAAACCGATAAGTCTTGGGATCGAATCTTGACAGCGGCAGTGTGGTAGTTAATAGAATTTAGGATGAGGAAAAAGTTGCTGGATTGGGCAATAAGACACTTGAGCTGAACCACATTAAAAGATTAAATCTAATCGATTACTAAGTTCAAATAAAAAATTTTATATACCCATTATTTTCTTCATATTTTTTCTGATATGTGATACTCTTTAACAGTAATTGTAGCTATTCTTTACAATAGTTTCTTGAGCACACCCGACATAGAGCAACTTTTCTAAGAACTAGATTAAGGTTATACCATTATTTACTCTCGTCATTATCCTGTCAGACCGGGGTGTAAAAGCCTTTCAAAACTGGGTTTAGAGGTGTGGGTGGGTTCTCTCTTCATCATGCACCTACCTACATGGAGGCCATCTCACTGTCACCCCTTTCCCCCTTACCCTCCAGTCTAACACCAAGTGGTTAGACATAAAATTAAAGGTACTTATCAAAGTGATTATGTGCACGTGCGGAACAAGTAACAATCACCAATTACTCAATTAGACCATTATTACGTGCCGCTGGGCTATTTTGACGTCCTGACTTTCAACTTATGCGGCATCCTTTGTTTTTTTCACAATAATAAGAGCATCCAATAATTACTAACTCCGTGCGATTTATCTGCATTCCTAATTGTTACACACAAAACGTATGTATAGAATTTATACATGCATTCTCTTTGGTCTATAATGCTTTAATGAAATTATTGTACAAATTGCAGATAAGACATAAATTTTGAGTCTAGCATTTGAAATTCAAACTTTAAAAAAATAGAATCTTTGGTATTTAAAAAAAATTGAATCCTAATACTATGATATTCAACGAAAAATACATTTCTACATTCTTGAAAGAAGCTCGCCTTTTCTTGTTTTATATTTTCAAAATAGTTCACATTTTTCTTGTTTTCGTCTATGAGAAAATAAATATATGTAAAACGCAATTATTATATACTTCCTCTCATTTTAACTTGACATGATTTTTAATGTATTGTTCAAATTCTTTTCAAATTCCTAAATTTATCTTAATCAAATTACTCCAGTCAACTACGTCTTCACATATTTGATACTACCCCTTCACCTCAAGATTCGAAGCCGCCCCTTCTCTATAAGATCTAAAGCTACCCCTTCTCTTCAAGAAGAAAGGAAGGTGGATGGGGGTGGGGGGAGGGTTGGGGGTGAGGAAAAAGAAGAAGAAATTAGAAAAGAAGAAATAAGGTAGGTGGAGATAGAGCAAAAAGGAAAGGAACTAGAGGTAAATTAGTTTTTTTTATATAATTTATTTTCTAAATAAAGAAATGAGAATAAACAGGTGAGACGATTCGAAAAAAAGTGAGAAGAAAGATATATGATATAAGGGATAATTAATATATGTGCAAGGTAAATATTTTTTTTACATGACATGTTGAATATATCGAGTCTAAAAACTGGGCCTGTAACCTATAACTTTTGAGCTTGGACCAAGTTAGCACCCATTGAATAAACAAGTACTACCCCGTCCCTGAGTATTATTTGTCTAGTTTTGACTTTTTTCGGACAACTATTTTCAAACATTGACCTATAATTAAATAAAATATACTCCGGAGTATATTGTATATTAATTAGATAAAATAATATTTTGAAAATATTTGATATAATAAAGCTAATAAAACTTTTTTTGCATCAATATCTAATATCATTTTTATTTTATTTGAAGTCAAAATTTATCAATTTTGACCGAAAAAGTTAAAAATGGACAAATACTCCGGAACAGAGAGAATAAGTTTTATTTTCTATTTTTATACTCCCTCTGTCCCCCATAGATCTTTCCAATAGCTCTTTTTCTTTGTCCACAATAGATCTTCTCATTATATTTTTTAACAATTAAAATACCACAACTATCCCCACTTACTTTATTTATTACACATCACCCACCTCATTTAATACACTCCACCCATATTTCATTAAGGGTATTATGATAAACTTTCACATTTTTTCAACTCTCTTTAAAAATCACCAAAAGTCAAAATGAGAACATCTTAGGGGAACGGAGGGAGTATTAATATTCATAAAAATTCAATTGAAAATAACTATGATCAAACACCTTAATCTAAAATAAGAAATACAATAAAAGGTGTAGAATGATTGAATTAACAATTAATGCAATCTTTTCTATTCAAGCACACCTCTAATGACAACCCACTCCCATTGACAATGGCAAGCCATACGACTCCTACTCTTCATTGGTTTCGTTCTCAAAGACTCCCTCCCTCCCTCAACAACTTTCCCCACTGCGTAAAATGCATTTTTCTGACATTTTCTTTTCTCCACCACTCTCTTGAATTCCCCGCTCCACTTTCTCCATTTTCTTTTCTCTGTAGATCCAATATATAATACCACGGGGGGCAAAGTAAAAATAAAAACTTTAAGAAAAGAAAAGGGAAAAGCTTTTTCTTCTTTTTTTTCTCTTCTTATCCTCAAAAAGATTCATTCATCAGGTCCTGGAAGGGAAAAAAAGAGAGCTTTTTCATTGAATCTTGAAGGGCTTTCGCAGTACCATGGGGAGCAAATGGAGGAAAGCGAAGCTGGCCCTCGGATTGAATCTCTGCACTTATGTCCCAAGAACTCACCTTGAAGACGACGTCGACGCCAAGGCGGCGCCGCCGCTCTCCTCCCCGCACGCCGACGGCGCCCTTCCCTCTGCTGCCCCTCCCGGCTCGCACAGCTTGAAGCTTTCTAAAAGCTTGAGTAGATCTTCAAAGGTTGCTTCTTGTGCTGTTTATTCTTCAGCCTTCGATTTTGAATGTCTTAAATTCTAATTAATTTCTAAATTGTTTTGTGAGGAATATTCTGATTTGGCTAACCCAGTATTTTAATTGGGTGATGATTTGGGTGTTTTGTGGACCAATGAAGTTGGGGATCTAAGGACTGCTTTTATTTTGTTTTTTTTTCAAATTTCTTTTCTTTGTTAGAAATTCTTGTTTTCCTCTATACAAATTTATGGGGTAAGTAATTAGTTGAACTTGGGCTTTTTAATTGTGAAGTTCTTTCAGACTTCAGACACATATACTTAATCAACATATAAAACATATTGTTTGTATTTTCCTCACTTTAGCCTATATATGCAAGTCCATTTTCCTGCTCTTCTTGTGTTTGACTATATCTCCTTTCTGCAATATTTGTGGTTGGAGAAATGTACAAGACCCAAAGCTTCTATAGTGTTTTTCTTGTCAAGTTCCAAAATGTGTTCCTCTTCTTGTTATTGGTTCATCTGTTGATTAGCTTAATGAGAAAAAGATGCATGAGAAAAGATTAAAGCTATGAAATTGTATAATTTGTATTCGGCCCTGCGTTGTAGGATTTTGTTCTTTAAAGGCGTGGTTCTTTGAAGTTACATTGCTCTTGTTCTTTAAAGGCATTGATTCGATGTTTTTTGGAATGATTTTCTCGCGATTTTATTTTGTTTCTCCAGAAGATATGTTCAATATGTTTGGGTACAATGAAGCGGGGGAACGGCCACGCTATATTCACTGCCGAATGTTCACATTCCTTCCATTTCCATTGCATCGCTTCTAATGCGAAACACGGAAACTTCCTTTGCCCAATTTGCAGAGCAAAATGGAAAGAAATTCCCTTGCAACGTCCTAGCTTGGATCTTCCTATTCCGGGAAAGCCAAGAGTTTCGCTGCCTCCTCGTTTGAATCAAAACAGGAATTTCGCGCCGTTACTTCACACTTCTGAGCCAACTGTCTTTGATGATGATGAATCTTTGGGTGTTTTCCCCCTTCAACAACCTTTGCCGCATAATGTAGAAGGCAGAGTGATAAAAATCAACACATACCCAGAAATCCCTTCAGTTTCAAGGTTCCATTCGTGTGATAAATTCACAGTCTTGGTCCATCTCAGTGCTCCCAGTTCAATTCTTGGTCAAAACCCACACCGTGCGCCCGTTGATCTTGTCACGGTCCTTGACATCAGCGGCAGCATGGCGGGGACCAAGCTCGCTCTCCTGAAGCGGGCCATGGGTTTTGTGATACAGAACCTGGGCCCCGCTGACAGGCTGGCGGTCATTGCCTTCTCCTCAACATCAAAACGCCTTTTCCCGCTCGGAAGGATGTCTGAAGGGGGGAGGCAACGAGCTCTCCAAGCGGTCAACTCTCTGGTCGCGAATGGGGGGACGAATATCGCCGAGGGCTTGAGGAAGGGTTCCAAGGTAATGGAAGACAGGAGGGAGAAGAACTCAGTCTCCAGTATAATACTCTTATCTGATGGCCAAGACACGTATAGCGGGACCCAGCACTTCCCGGCTTGTAGAACGATCCCCGTACACACTTTCGGGTTCGGCGGGGACCACGATGCTTCGTCAATGCATTCGATTGCAGAGGCATCGGGAGGCACGTTCTCTTTCATTGAAACAGAAAGTGTGATCCAGGAGGCATTTGCTCAGTGCATTGGGGGGCTTCTGAGCGTCGTGGTGAAAGAGCTTCGTTTGGATATTGATTGCGTTCACCCGGGAGTCCTCATCAGATCTTTGAGAACGGGTAGTTACCCAAACAGGGTCTTATCTGATGGAAGAAAGGGATCTATTGACGTCGGGGACCTATACGCCGATGAAGCGAGAGACTTTCTGGTTACAGTCAGTGTCCCTACCGAAGAAAACAACGAGACTTCATTGTTGAAGGTGAGGTGCACGTACATGAACCCATTGACGAAAGAAACCATAAACAGTACAAGTGAAGAAGAAGAAGAAGTTAGGATAAAGAGACATGAAGAAAGTGTAAGAGAAGCGGGCGTGTCGATAGAAGTGGACAGACAGAAGAACAGACTCGAAGCGTCCGAGGCGATGGCGGAAGCGCGGGCCGCCGCCGAGAAAGGTGACCTGGCGGGGGCCGCCTCGGTTCTCGAGAAATGCAGAAGGGCAATTTCGGAAACGGCGTCGGGTAAATCTCGAGACGACCTGCTCTGTTTGGCACTCGATGCCGAGCTCAAGGAGATGCAAGAGCGGTTGGCGAGCCGGCACGTGTACGAGGCTTCGGGGAGGGCGTACATTCTGTCGGGGATGAGCTCGCACTCGTGGCAGCGGGCCACGGCCCGCGGGGATTCCACGGACATGTCTAGTCTGGTTCGGGCGTATCAAACCCCGTCCATGGTCGAAATGGTCACCAGCTCTCGGGCCACTGGCCCGTTGCCTTGGAGGCTCGTTCGTCCGACGTGGGGCCCGAGGTCACAGCCCAAGCCCAGGTAACGTTTGGCATGAAGGCTGAAGTTTCACAGAACAACAACACAACATTGTAGTTTGTAATGCTTTTGAGTAGTTTTTTTTGGCTTTTTATTGTTTGTTTAATGTGGTGTGGGGGGTAAATAAAATCCTGGAACAGAAAAAGGGGGAAATTTTGTGGGAAAATGTAATGAAGGGTAAACTTAGTTGATATGGTAAATGATGTTTAGTTTTCTGTTCTTGCTGGTGGGGAATGTACATAGAATTTGTTGCAACTTCATGCTCTGTTTTGTGTATAGCTCCTTTTTCTTTAATACTTCCTTTGTCTTTGATAGAATTTAGGATTGGGTGTGGATAACTGGATTGGGCAATAAGGCACTTGGGCTGAACCACATTAAAAGATTGAATCAATCGATTAGTTAGTTCAACTCAAGAGTTTATATACCGATTATTTTGCTCTTGAATTTCTGATGTGGGATGACACTCTAACAGTCTCAACAAAAAATACTCCGTAATTAATCTTTAACTTGTAACAAAAAAGTAGTCAATCTTTAAAAAATATAACAAAAAGGTACCCTTTGCCAAAATTTTGAAAATCTTGTTGTGGCCGTTCCCTTGGCTTCCTAGTGTACTAATAAACTTTGTACTTGATAGATATAAAGTAAAGTTTTATTTTTGAAAAAAATTATATATTATTTATATGATATCATTTTTTGTTTTTATGATGGTAGATTTCAAATTTGAATTTTTTTAAATTTAATGCTATGCTTTCTAGAATATATTTCTTAAAATTTTAGCATTTTGAAATATTTTCTAATTTACAAAATATTTTAAACCAAACTAGGAATTACTTTTTAAATAATTGTCTTTATCGTAATTTAAAGGGGAAAGTTTCTTATTTATTTAAGTTTTAAAATACTTATAAATATTTGGAGTTAGAATTTAAATAGATAAATAAACACGATGTTGCATACCTTGAGCAATAGCATGTCAAAAATTTTCGTTACGAGCTTCGCGTTTTGGATAAAATTTTAACGATGTAGATTACTTTGATCAATAGACAAACTAAATTGTTAAATATTTTGGTCACTTTTGTAAGATTGAAACGATCATATGATTACAATATTTTTTCAGAGGAAAAAGCAATCACTATTTTGCATTTATTGTTCTCAATTTAAAACCCTATCTAATATAGGATCTGTTTAGAAATAACGTTAGAGATTAACATTAGCATTTTGAAAAGGTTATCTACGGACAACATTTAACGTTAGCGTTTTCATTAATGATTTAGTTTGTCTATTGACAAATACACCGTTAGTGGGAAGAACCAAATAATGGCGGGCTTATATTGTTTTTCCTTTTGATGGTCAAGGCCCATTAAACAAGCATAAGCCCAAAAGCACTTCACAGTTCACACAGTCAAAATGGAAACAAAGTCGCCCCAATGGCAGAGACGACTCAGATCAACAAAACACTACTGACGAAGAGACTCTTCCGAAACAATGGAAGCAATGGCGATGCGGCTTCGATCGGCCATAGCTATTTCTTTCCTCGCTTCTCTGTATTTAGTTGCCGGATCGTCTTCTTCCGAGCTTCAGATCGTCAACGCTGAACGCAGAGTGAGTGAGCTCCCATTTGATTTTGTGAAGAATAATCGGATTATGCGGATGAATTTTACCTGAATGTTATCTCTCTGATTGTAATGATTTGATACTCCGCATTCGTTTTACATTGGGATTTTCCAGTCTGATTTCATAAGATTCACTCTTAATCTCAGTTTTTTTTAAAAAAATGTTAATTCGCATTTAGCAGAAAATGAAAAGAACATTGACGATTCTTAGATTTTATATGGTTCACTCTTAATTTCATTGTTTTTTCCAATTTTTTTTTAGTTAAATTATCAATAACGAATGTTGTAATTTTATTCTGGATGTACTATAATATTGAGTTTCTGTGTGTGCAGGTAGACCTGACTTCTCACATTGTTCGGACTTACCTGACTTTGAAGGTATTTCTCCAATCTCTGGCAGTGATTTAAATCCTGAAGTGCTCATATTTCCTCTTTTCTCTGAAGTTTATTCGTATATGTACTAGCAAAACAATGTGATGCCAGATGCCAAGTACCAAGTAGCAAGGTCCAAATTTGATCCTTTTATACTTAAAATTTCAGGTTGAAAATTTAGGAGATTCTCCCACTTCGGAAATCCTTCTCTGTTTCCCACCAGAACAAGCTGATCATCTAGCGGTTGTAAAAGCAGCAGCCGTGTCTGGCAAGAAGAAAAAGACCTCTTATCTGCCACTTGAGGTGAAGCAAGCGAACCGTCCTGATGGGCCAAATGGAGCTAAATACTATTCTATATCTTTGCTTAAGTCGTTGAGCAAAGGTGAATCTGTCTCCATCGAAGTGCTCTATGTGCTCACCCATTCGCTTGCACCTTTCCCAGTAGAAATAAGCCAGTCTGATTCGCAGCTAGTGTATTTTCATGATAGTGCTATAATACTATCGCCGTATGTTATTAAACAACAAGTTACATTTATAAAGACACCAAGTGCTAAGATTGAGTCCTTCACAAGTATGGAGCCAACTGATCATGCTGGGGCACAAATAAAGTATGGGCCATATGAGGAACGACCCCCATATTCTTACTTTCCCATAATTGTTCATTTTGAGAATAACAATGCATTTGCTGTTGTTGAGGAGCTTGTACGTGAAATTGAAATATCTCACTGGGGCAGTATCCAGATAACCGAGCAATACACTTTAAAGCATGCCGGTGCTCGGCACAAGGGTGTTTTCTCAAGGTCTGCTTATTTGCATAATTATCATTAATTATTTAAAATAATCTTCTAATGTTTCTGAGCTGGAAAAAATTGTCAAAGTCCAGCAGGATATGCTGTGTAATTAATTAATTATATTACAAGTTTCTAACTAAATCTAATTAAACAGCAAAAGTAGTTGGAGCTTCAGTCCTGGCTTGCGTTACGAACAAACAAGCACGTGTTCTTTTTTTAATGTTGTTTTAAAAGGCTTGATGTATAAGTTAACAAAGTTGTGTATCTTTCTGTTAATGTTTTTATATTACTTGTTGTCAGGGTTGATTACCAATCTCGACCATCTCAGAGCGGTGTTTCATCATTCAAGAACCTCCTTGCCGAATTACCTCCTAGAGTTCACTCAGTGTACTACAGGGATAGTATAGGGAACATTTCTTCCTCTCGTTTGCGCACAAATGCAAAGAAGGTATCTCACATATTGCTTTTCATCTCTCTCACTTACCGTTGTAAGCTATTCTTATACCTCGCCATTTTTTCTTCTCTAGTTTGTTTCTTTAGACGGATAATGTAGTAGTGAACCAATGAGATGTAATTGATTAACCCATTAGGTGAGGACTAAGTTTGCCCCACGATTATGTTGTTTCTACAGCTACTTAGCATCTTTACTTGTCAATTTAAGATACTTTTCAGGTATTTTTTTAAAGGGCAGATTGTGAGAAATAGAAAAGTTTACTCGAAAATGTATTCCTGTAATTTATATGTTCCATTTCCTTTTGCAGTCAGAGCTTTTGATTGAGCCACGATACCCTTTATTTGGAGGTTGGAAAGCCACCTTTGTCTTAGGATATGTGGTTCCATTGAATGACTTTCTTTATGAATCCGCTAATGGTGATCGCTACCTAAATTATAGTTTTGGGCCCCCTCTGGCAGAGACTGTTGTTGACAAGATGACCATCAAGGTGGGATATCTGATTTTGGATTGTTTATCTTGTTCTTCTTAGTATTTATGCACATGTACAGATAAATAATGCTGTGGTTATGTATTTTAGGTGGTCCTTCCGGAAGGTTCCAAGAACCCATATGCTGTGGTACCTTTTCCTACTGAACAGAGATTAGAGGTAGCTTTAACTTGAACAATTCCAAGAAATCTGCTTTACTGCTAAAAGAGACGAATGACTTATAGAACCTACAGTAGCATTTTTTAGAGCAAGAACAGATGAAGTGAACGATTGCCTATTAGATTCATTCACATTATATACTCTTTGACAGAAGTGGTATTATTTGAATATTTGCAGAAGAAATATTCATACCTTGATGTGGTGGGGAGGACTGTGGTGGTCCTGGAAAAGAAAAATGTAGTTCCTGAGCACAACTCTCCTTTCCAGGTGATTTCTGATATTCCATTGCTTCTGTCAAAGTACCTAGTGTACTTCGTATTATTATGCCCCGTCCTTCCACGCAAATTAAAAACCTCGTTATAAAAGTCTTTTTTTGCCTCTAAAGAGTCTTTTTTTATAAACCAAAGCTAATGTTTATGTGATTTGTCATTTGCCAAAGAAAAAAACTTATAAGCAAGTTAAGTAAGGAGTATATTATAAAGTTAGGATTGCATAAGTTGTAAAAGTGGCGCCTTGCCAAAATTTAAGTTGAATGGTTACCAAACATGAGTCTTTTTTGGTCAAGTCACTGTTGAGTTACTTCTTGTAGTTTCCTTGTGTAAATGTCTCATCAATTAAAAGGAGGACAAAGACTAAGTCCCTTTTTATTCAAATTTTAGTTCTAGTTATACAAACTTTAGACTCTAAGTTCCAATTACCAACTTGAGACATCAAACTTTAGTAAAAATTAAAACAATATTCAGACTCCAGTCTCGAGGCTCCAGACTTGGACTACCGTTAAAATTAAGGAATAAAGAACATGTCCTAACTATGATTGTTGGATCCCTCGCTGCTATGTCAGTTTTCTATACTACAATACCGAGCATTACATAATTGAGAGAGCTAGAATATTCTCATCCCTCTACCAATTATAGGAGCAGATAACTAGGGCTTGTTTGGAATGATTCATCATCCGCGGGAATTAGATGTTAGACCCTTGTTCGGAATAAAAAAGGTTGAGAATTCGGAGATTATCGGCAATCCAGAATTCCTGAAATTACACGAATCAGACATTCACACACCCTTTGTTCACTACCAATGGAGCTTAAAGAAACATTATTGAAAATGTTTTAGCTATGGGTAATAGTAAACCAAATCAAAATTGCACATTAAAGAATCATTATTAACGAATCAGACATTCACACACCCTTTTTACCAAACCAATGGAGCTTAAAGAATCATTATTGAAAATGTTTTAGCTATGGGTAAATAGTAAACCAAATCAAAATGGCACATTAAACTTCACTTGCTGAATTTCTATAAAGTTTTGGGTAGTAAATTTGGCAATGCATCAAGGGTGTAACAGAAACAACATTTTGTTTTTTTGACAAGGCTGTCTACATCTTGACCCACTAGACAGCAACAGAGATGAGATTATACTGGTTTTGTTGTTATACATGAAATGCACATCCTCTTTTCATTTCCTGAAAACAACACTTGGGTTGTGGGTTTATCTAATTCTGATTAGTTTAGTTTTGACCACCAACGCATTCCAAACTACGCAAAATATCATATGCGTTCTGGCCCATTCAATTATTTGGAATCAGAATCTATACAAGTGCCTAGCTTCATCGTTCTAACACTTACTCCTTGGTGTTTGATCCCTGCAGGTTTACTACCAGTTCAGCCCAATTTTCATGCTTGCAGAGCCACTGATGTTGACTGGCGCCTTTCTCCTTTTCTTCTTCGCTTTTGTTACTTATTTGCAAATGGATCTCTCCATCCGCAAAATCAAGAACACATAACGGTAACGTATCACGACACTTCTTCCACTAGTGGGGTCAAAACTCTCTAGATTCAAGGTAGAATACATTACAAAGTTGATGTTGAAAACTTATCAATCAGTCTCCCTGACCCCTTTTATTGGGAGAGAAGTCCCATTCCTCATTGTCTTTGTGATATATGTAACGACGTCATATTACAGGTGTTCTTTGGGAGAGTAGAAACTCATTGTCCTGGCTCCTTCTTGAACCCAATAGTCATTTACCCTTGTGGGTAGTAGATGATATTAATGTCATTTCGCAACTCAATGTTCCTCTCTTTCATATCAAACTTACCACTTCTAAATTCCAATTCTTCCGTTGGGTCTTTTGAAAATAGTCTCTCGCATTTTTGAATTATGGTTAAAGTCTACCCACACTAGCCCTCCAAAGACCTTAGGTTGTGTGGGATTCCATGGGGTTTATTTTTGTTGTATTGATGGGATCCTCACTGTTTTGTCCAAGGATTTATGTGATGCTTCTAAAACACATTTCATTCCCTAGGGTATATGTCCAATTCCGGCAAGTGCTCTTTTTGTTAACTTAAATTTGGATATCGATTTCAGCTTTTGTTGGAATTGCATGTTTGGGAATCTAAAAAAGGTGAAATTTGGATTTGGGTCAAAAATATTTGAATATCCAACAAAGCACAATTATAGTTTTATACGGAGAATATACTTGTAATTTGAATCCTATAAATTAAATTTTAAAATTCCCGGCCAACCCTAACTAAATTCCTCCAGATTAATTCTCAAAGCTCTATGCTCCATACTCGAGTAGCTTCCTACATTGAATTGTTATCAGTATACTAATTTTTGGTATGACAAAAGGATGGTGATAGTCACACTCGTTAAAAGACTAAATACACATATCAACTAAATACACTCAGATGCATTCTTATATTTTTATTTAAAAAATTTAAATAAACTATATTAATTTAAAAAAATATTATAAATAAACATTAGAACTATCCATCATTTATTTCATTTCATTACTTTTAATAAATTATATAAATTTTACTTTTTATTTTAGTTTTTCATTTATTAAAATGCTCCGTAACTTTCATTGTTAATACATTGAATGATCATTGATTTTGTATAAAACCTTCTATTTTTTAAGTCTTATACCAATATGCATTTTACCATTTTTAAAAACCTAAATAGTTATTTTATTATTAGAAAAAGGTTACATAACTTTTACCTAAAAAAAACTTTCTACGGAGTAGATTTTAAAATTATTCGCCATTATTTCATTTTATTACTTTTCAAGAACAAATATTTATATAAATAATAATAAATATGCATTATTATTATTAAAACTACATCTTTTATTTTTAAAAGATATCATATATAATAATTTAAAATATATTTGTGGAAAAAAATTATAATTTGATTCAAAATGTAATATGATTTTATCAAAATATTTATTTGAGCTCATATATGAGTTCATATGAGGCCTGGCATTTAAAAAGTTAAGAAATTATAATTAACTAGTGGAGTGAATTAAGAATTTTGGTGGGATGTGATATATGGTTTTAATATTTTCGGCATATGGTAGAGATTCTACCGAACCATCCATATTTAATTTGTTCCAGTATATAGATATAACAAACTATGACGTTTAGCCTATGTACCTTTGGATTAGAATTTTAGATTTCGATTTTGGAAGAAACTGGAAGTAGTTAGGATATGTTGAAAAATTTTGAGTGTTTAAATGTCACTCAATTGAATGATCATCCAAATATATACAGTACTTAAGAAAACTTCAATTTTCGATAAAAAAAATATATTATCATTATTTTTGTTTGATGTGTTATGTTGTAAATTTGGATATATAATGCTATTCTATACTTATCATATATAAATACATTTTTAAATCGTTGTTGGAAAAAACTGAAATGAATATGAAGAAACTGAAGAAACTGAAAGAAAGAAAAAAAATTAGAAATTAATTTTTCAAACCAAAGGAATAGAGCGTTAATCATGTCGATTTAATCGCATTTTTTCAGCGTTTCTATGTTAAGAATTGAGTTAAGTAATACGGAAAAAGTATTTTTGTATTGATTTCTATCTCCCAGTAGAAATAGTAATACTTCCTCCGTCCTAAAACTATCTTCTCACTCCCCCTTTTTCTCCGTCCTAAAACTTTTTTCCCATTTCTTAAAAAAAGTACGAATGGACTATTTTACCCCTCTCTCATCTCTCTCAACCTGCTTCTCATCCCTCTCCTACCATACGTTATCTTCGTCTCTCAAGTCGCATCCCTCTCCTTCGCAATATCTCCGGCTTTCCTCCATCTCCATCTCTCTTCTCTCCCTCTCGAAATCACGAAATCTAAACATAACCCTCTCCGTCTCTCTTGGGCTCCCCCCACCCCCTCAAAATCTAGATCCAATCTTCTTCTCTCTATTTTAATCTCTAGATCTAATTGTTTCTCTTCCTCAAAACATAGATCTAATCTTTTGTTTGAAAACCCAGTGGCAGCGATATTGAGCAGTAGAAGAGAGCAGACAAAATGGAGGCTGGAAACGAAGCAATTAGAAACTGCAAGAGCATAAGGGTGATGTTGTTGCTGCAAGACACTTGCTCAATGCACTTGAAGAGGAAGCAATTTCATCATTCATTTTATTTAAATTTGTGTAGTTGCTATTTTGATTTTTTAATTTTTTTAGAACCGGATGTTGATTCAAGAATCATGCCTCCGTGAAAGAAGAAAACATCAAGAACGAAGGGCAATGATTTTTGTTCCCATTAAGCATGTTTCGGTCCAGGGGGGAAGGGGGCATTTTGGGAAAGTCAACCCAACTTTTACACTCCCTTAAAAACCACCTCCGGTCAAACCGGGAAGGTGGTTTTAGGACGGAGGGAGTATTTTTTTATTTCTATATCTCTGTGTGCTCCGAGTGTAAAGAAAGAATCAAGTTTTTTTAAAGAAAATTTAACTAAATATCACTAAAACATAATGATTTTCCTAAATAGTACTCCGTATTATATATTTTATTTCTTAATGTATTACTTTTAGTCATTATCCATTAGTCATTATTCAAGTAAATGTTCACCATTACTAGACAATATTTCTCTTTCTAGACATTATTAAGTGCGATTTAGAAGATAGAAAAATGTAAGTCCTTTTATATATATATATATAGACACACGATTTAGATACCAAAAAAAGGACGTACAAGCTAAGCCAACCATCCAAAGTGGTAGGACAAGAATGCATCATGGACGCAAGACATAAATTATTTGAATTGCATTAATGGATTTGATGCTTATCATGACATTTCAACCTTACAATAATTTTACAAAATTGTTTTATCTTAAGTTAAAGTTTCATTTTCTTCTACTAATAAAAAAAATGTCAATCTATTTGAAAAGACTTGTTTATCTCATTGTCTACCTTGACAGCTTGACTCCCATTGATACTATCTCTTTCTTTACTCTCTCTGTCTCTAATGTTTGTTCATTTTTAATGTTTTTTGAAAATTTTGAATTCAAATTATTTAAAAATGATATAAAATATTGATACAAAAATATTTTAAATATATTTATTATTAACAGTATTTTTAATATATTATTTTATCTAATTAATAATAATATATATAAAATATAATATACGGAGTATTTTATTAAATTTTGATATTTTAAACTATTGCTTTTACCTTTATATCGAAATAAATGTATTTCTTTGCATATCGTGGTCTATGTTTATGTATAAATTTTGATAATAAAAAAATACGGAGTAGAAAGATTAAATTTGAGGGGAGTGAGAGTGAGCATAGTTTAATCTTTTTATTCAACCGCAACTAGAAATTAATGTGTACTATTTCAACAATTGACTGAATTGAGCCTCTTCCTAGAAACCTGGAAGAACATGGTCCACACGATAATAATTTGCCTAGTCAAAAAACACACGATATGATGTTATTATGGGACAAAGTAATGAAGGGTTCTGAATTTTTAAGTGCAAAGAAAGATGTGTAACATCTACCAACACACATTTTATTTGAAGGATACTTTATGTAAATATTTCTTAAACATATCACTACTTCCTAAATATCATTACTCTTATTTATTAGAACGTTTAACAATGAAAAATTCTAAAATGTACTATCATTGGAAAATTCTGAGTCATTTTAAAAGAATGACATATTATACAATTCAAGTAGAATAAGATATTATTAAAAAATAATTTGAATAATCATTGAAATAATTGAATAAGATATTATTAAAAAATAATTTGAATAATCATTGAAATAAGTGAAATTTGTACTAAGTAGGACTAAAACATAAGTCATTTCCCAATCTAGGACTTAAAACTTTTTTATTCCGACTTAATAATGTCTAGTGGGAGGAATAATGTCCAGTAATGATGAACATTTAGTTGAATAATGACTAATTGATAATGATCAAAAATCCTACATTGGAAAATAAAAACATATGATCCTATATTGAGAAAGTCATTATGTTTTAGTCCTATTTAGGTAAATTTCTCTTAAAATAATTAGTTATTATCCAACACTCGTTGCTAATGATCACATTCGTAGAGTTATTTGTATAATCAGCTATTATCCGACACTTGTTGTTAATGAGGCATATATGACCTATCATACGAAAATTATTTGCCATAAAGAGAATAAAATATTCTTGGCACTATTCAAAAGAGCGCCGATCTGATCGTTTTATTTCAATTTCTACGATTATTTAATAATCGATCATCAACGCGCTGGCCATCAAACTTAATTATTAGCTTAATATAATTACTTACTCTACTTATGCTACTTATGCCAATGACCTGGTAGTTCAATGACATCACTGTGGCTCTCCCAAATGAGATGTCACATGTTCGATTCCAGGGGCGGAGGCAAGGTGGCAATGCCTGGGCACGTGCCCCCCAACAGTGGCGGAACCAGGATCCAAGAGTAGCGGGTGCAAAATAACATGTATTGATAAGAAATAAATAAATAAGTAAAAAACATATTTGGCAAATGTCACAGGTAGAGAATTTACCGGAGAGGACCTACAGAAGAAGACCATCACACTAAATATTTATCATCATAATCATGTTCTTTTTCTTCATCTTCTTCTTCATTTCTTCCTCTTCTTATTTGAAATTGAGCAATATATAGTGGTATATAGTATTAAAAAATCAAGTTGGGAGTGACTGCAATTGCAGTTATTTTGCAGTCATTTGCTCCCACTTGACTCCGCCCTTGCCCCCGGCGATTTTTTGTGGTAATAGAGGTGACCCCCACCTAGTTCTCTCGCGATGATAATGCCCCCTCAGGACGGGAGATTGGGCGGCCTATTGAATGCTCTAGTGAAAAGTTGTAGATTTTTTTAAATAATTAGAACGCATTTCCCCAAAAGAAAACGAATAATTGAAACGACACCGTTTGAATTAGTAAAAAATCCTTAATTTTTTCTATTCAGACGTCTTTTGCTAATATTTCCAGACTAACAGAGTAAAAAACTATAGAATGTCAATATATACTGTCACATTATAATGATCGTATTTTGAATACAGAGTATTAAAGAATGAAAAAAATTAGAGTATGTCACTCCTACTTTAAAAATTTAGAAAAAAAAAGGTATATTTTGCTATAAAAATATATGAAACCTATTTTGAAACAAGAATAATATTTTGGTGATTTTGAAAAAAATATACTGAGGTGCGTGTATAGGAATAGAAGTTTGTCATGTGTCAAATCAGTATCTCTGTGTTGGTCGGCAACGAAGCTTGAGAAGGCTGTTTGAGGGTGTGTGTCGTGCGTCTTTGTCTCTCTATTGTCTCTGTCTTCCCCATTAACCCACCCGACACCCCTCTCCTTCCTCCTCCTTTTAACCATTTACGGACGGACTGCATCGGACCACTATTATTTATATATCGTCAAACATTTTTTTTTTCTCAACCGCTCCTCCATTGGTTAGGTCCAAATCCTCCTCCGCCATTTCTGCTGATCTGGGTGTGGTCAAAGATTCAATCTTTCTGCATAAAACTCGAGAAAGAAATGTGGGTTTCAATCATTTCTCGTCTTTGATCATGAACACAAACCAAATCTTTGAAGGTAACCCTCCATTCTCTCTTTTTCAGATTTCATCCTGAGTTCCAATTTCATCTGCTTTGCTTTGCTGAATAGTACCAAATAATCTCAGCAATTCTTGGTTTTTTCTTCTATGGTTGTGCTTTGCAGCAATTTGGACCTGATAAAAATTAGTAATAATTAGAGGGAAGATTAGCTAGCATACCTTGTTATTGTTAAAATTGACTGAGAAAACAAAGAATGGTTGCTGAAGTGGTGGAGAGGTGCTTGGATTCCAAGTTATGGCATGCCTGTGCTGGTGGGATGGCCCAAATCCCACCTGTAGGCTCTCAAGTCTTTTACTTTCCACAAGGTCATGCTGAGCATGCCAATCAGTCTATGGATTTTGGGGGCTACCCTACAATCCCATCTCTATTGCTGTGTAGTGTGTCTTCCATAAGGTATTTGGCTGATTTGGAGAGTGATGAGGTTTATGCCAAGATTGGATTAGTCCCTTTGAAGGAGGATGTTTGTGATGATGATGATGATGATGAGAGTAGGTTTCTGGCTTCTTTTGGTAACAATGAGAAGAAACAAGAGAAGCCGACCAATTCGTTCGCCAAGACATTGACACAATCTGATGCAAACAATGGTGGAGGTTTCTCTGTTCCCAGGTACTGTGCTGAAATGATTTTCCCCCGGTTGGATTACACAGCTGAGCCACCCCTCCAGACTGTAGTGGCTAAAGATGTCCATGGAGTGAGTTGGAAGTTTAGGCATATTTATAGGGGGACGCCGAGGCGTCACTTATTGACAACCGGTTGGAGTAATTTTGTGAACCAGAAGAAGCTCGTCGCCGGGGATTCAATCGTGTTCCTGAGAGCCGAAAATGGGGAGCTCTTTGTTGGGATCCGAAGGGCAAAGAGAGGGACGAGCCCAAAGAGTTCGGGGTGGAACACCCGGGGGTATTTTGGTCATTCGGGGAATTGCGTCGAAGCAAGGACACTTGCAGGGCGCTCTCAGCCTTTTGAGGTGGTTTTTTATCCACGAGCCTGCACACCAGAATTCGTGGTCAAGGCTTCTGTTGTGAGGGAGGCAATGAGAACCCGGTGGTGCCCTGGGATGAGGTTCAAGATGCCCTTTGAAACGGAGGACTCTTCCCGGATAAGCTGGTTCATGGGAACCGTGTCTTCGGTTCGGGTGGACGACCCAATCCGCTGGCCCAATTCTCCGTGGCGCCTCCTCCAGGTGACTTGGGATGAACCAGACTTGCTTCAGAATGTGAAGGGAGTCAGTCCATGGCTGGTTGAGTTGGTTTCAAGCATACCCTCCTCCCTCTCCGCCATCCATTTATCTCCCCCAAGAAAGAAGCTTCGGCTTCCTCAACCTCTTGAGTTTCCCCTTCATAGCATCATCAATACCAATCCCCTAATGATCCCTAGCAGCCCCATGTCGTCTTGTGTATCCGACAACCTTCCTGCAGGCATACAGGGAGCCAGGCAAGTACAATTTGGGCTCTTCCCGTTCGACAGCTGTGAAAATCATGGGAGTTTATCTTGCCTGTTGACAGTGGGGAAAACCAGCCCGGATTCGAAAAAGAAGCCACGGGAACTGATGTTGTTTGGTAAAGCCATTCTCATTGAGGACAGAAAAGATGAGAAATTCGTGTTTGGTTTGGATGATGAGAATGGTGATCGCCGTTGTAAGGTGTTTGTGGAGTCCGATGATGTTGGAAGGGGGGTCATTGACTTGTCGGCGACATGTTTGGGATCCGAAGACCGGAGGTGCAGAGCAATGTGCTGTACCAGGATAGTGCCCGTTCGGTCTGGCACATCGGAGACGAACCCTTCAGGTGGGATTTGAATTAAACCCATTTTGGGCAAATAACTCTTACCAAACATGACTTTATGTTCCTGGGAGAGTGTTTTAAAAACAGAACATGATTTGCCTTTGTTCTCTTTTTTTTTTTTTTGGGTTGTGCAGTGGGTTCATGAAGAAGGCAAGGCAAGAAGGCTTATAGTATTGTATCAGATTGAAGCAGTGACAATATGGGGAGGGGATAGAACTTATGAGACTCACTTGGCTGATCTCATTTGTGGGTTTCCCAAACAGAGCCGCCATTGTTACTCTTAAGATTACTTGTATTATATTGTCACCTCATTGTTCCTGAAATAGTTATTTATAAAACACATTATTGTCGTGGTGACTATATTAATTTTTGGAAAATGAATGTTTGTTGCCTCATTACTTTTTGATGAAAGATTTTTAGTGGGTCTCTGTTGTTGTAATGTTTCTTGGGCTAGGTTGATTGATCTGTTCTTGGGCTAGAATGAAAGTATATTATGGTTTCGATTGAAAACTGGATGGGTTGGATTGAGTAAGCTATTTCGACCGGTTGATTTCATGAGTTGTTGGTGAATAAACATTTGACAACCTTCGTTATTCATATATAGCGGTTGTAGATGAGGTTATCTTTAAAGACATTTTTTCATGCATTATAATTGAGATGTAGTCGAGTTTGACACCTACCTTCCTAACCCACCCATTAAACCCTTCACCATAGTCTACCTCATGCCCCACTCCCTTTTCGTCACCTGCTTCCACCACCGCCGCCAGCCTCACCATTGTTGCCAACTCCACCATTGTCAAAACTCAAACTACACCCATCTATATATGTGTGCAAATCTATAAGAAAGACGAGAAGAATAATAAAGATACTTGGAATATTTTCTATGTGTAAATCTAGAAGAAAGAAAGGTGGAGAGAAGTGAACAAAATGGCAAATGGGTGAAGGGTCTTTATTGTTAATTTTCTCATTTTCGTCCTTTGCCTTTTTTATTTCTTATTTTTCCATTTTTGCTTCCTTTTTGCCAGTTTTTGGATTTCTTTTAATTCTTCTACTCTGTACTTTTTTTTTGGAAAACTTTTTTTTAAAAAGAATCTCATTGTTACTTGGTCTTTGGAAAATAATCTCACATTGATAAAAATCATAATTTTACTAAAATTTGTGAATTTCGAGTCGATGTTAAGTTGGTAACAACTCTTTAACTAAAATGACATGTTTTGCGAAATATAATGAAAGCTAAGATTATTTTTGAAGAATTTTGTTTTTTTAATTTTTTTGAAATTTTCCTTTTAATTTTAAAAATAACTTTCTACCAAGATTATTTCTTTTTTTAAAGATTAGTTTTACTTCAAAAAAAAATAAATATATAGATATAAAAAATAAAGAAAATGAGAAAGTTAACTACAGTTATACAAAATTAACGAAATAAAAAGATAATAAATAAAAAGTAACATCTTCCCTCAAAAAATAAAAGCAATAAATAAATAAATAAAATATTTTCTTATTAAAAGCTAAAAAATAAAAATAAAACTAAAAAAAATTGAAATAAAAAATTATTTTCTTTACTTTAATGCAGTTTCATTTTAGTTATTTCTTAATAAGAAAAATAACTTTTTATTTCTTGTTTTTTTACTTTTATAATCATATTTTACCAATAGCAAAAAGTAGTACTCCGTATATTAGTACTTCATATAATGCGTAAACCCTTAGATAATTAAAACAACCTAATGCATATATTAGATTATTAAAATAATCAAACACAAAGTTTATCCAATTTTACTAAGCTCGAAGAATTTAAATTAACAAAACTTATTTAATTTTAAAAAGTCAAAGTAGACGAAGATACTAAGACGTACGGACATGCCCACCCATTAGCAAGTGCATTAGTTTCACTCCAAAATATAGGGCCTATTTTTTAATTTTTATAATACCTCTATGGAGTACTAGATGTATGTTATTAAAGAAAATACTTGGTATACAAAGAGAATGGTCACTTACAATTTATGAAATTCAGTAAAAATATTAAGTAGTCTAAAATAATTTAATTTAAGATGAGAATTTAAATCATAAATAGTAAATTTGTGAAATTTGTGGTCATTCTAGACTTCTAGTTGGAAACCTAGCATTACTCATGTTATGTTATTATTCATAGCCCAAAGTATTACGGAGTAATTAATAACTCATGACTATTCAATAAGAACGGTATTTGCTTCTTTGACTCATTGCCTCATCGGTTCCTCTAGTCTTCCTCCTTTAATACGCTTTGATAAGTGATTTGTTTTAAAACGTTTTTTAATGTTAGGGATTTAATATTTACAATATTGAATAAGTGATTTTTGCAACTCAAATGATTCATTTTTTTTGGCAAGTTCTGTTATTGTTCTACCTTTGCTTTTAACCATTTATATTTTCAGAATTTGAGAAAGAGGTTTTTTTAAGGCAATAGCTCAACACTCATCATAGACATCAAGATTTGAGATTCCTGTATTAATCTGTTTCTGCTGCAGTGCAAAACGTAAAAAGAAACTCAGGATTTTCATTAATAAAAAAAATGAATGGCAGCATTTTCATAATAATAATAATAATGAATTGTTCTGATGTGTAGTACATTGCATGAATATATAAAATAAACATGATCAAATTACGACGACACAAAAACCCGAGGAATAATTAAAACTGGTTCTGATGACTGGTTACGAGGCGCACCAGTTGTGGGAATCAATCCCAACCATGTAAAAAAATCCAACCAAAGCGTGCAAAATGCAAGTAACCAGTCCAATGGTAAGATAGTTTTTTTCCTGACGGTGGTTAGAATTTGCATATCTTTGTGCATATATGAATGTATATGCTCCTGCAGCAGTTGTGGCCCTGCACAACACAAGGGGTAAATGTGACATTTTAAGGGGAGTAAAAATGTCTTTGAAACAGATGATATGAAAAATCAAAAGAGAAATTTTTTTTAGGGACGTATAGGATGGAGCAATAATAATTTATTAAGGCAATTTTCTAATGTAGTACTATGTGTTTTAATTTTCTAATACAGTGTCAATGTTCAATATTTACTGGACATTATTTCAAGTAAATGTCCACTGCCACAGCCCACGGGGCATTGTTCAAAGTAAACGCGTTATTGCTATGAATTTTGTTCAAGCACTATTTAAGGAATAAAGAATGTTAGATACTACATTTGGAAAAAATATAGAGTATATTTTAATACTCCCTCCGTTCCACAAAACCCTTCCTCTTTCATTTTTTTGCTTTCCATAAAACACTTCTACTTTCTATTAAAAAACCACTTTTACCCCCACTTTTTCATATCCTACCTATCACATCATACTTTTTCATTAATAACCAAATTACACTTTTCTTATTTTCTCCCAAAGTCAAAATTGGAAGAGTTTTGTGGAATGGAAGAAGTACTCCCTCCGTCTCAAAAAGAATGGGACGGTTTGACTTTTTGGGAAATTAAGGGAGAGATATTTTGGTATTGATTTTCCAAAAATACCCTTGATGTGATGGGTAAAAGTAGGATGTGATGGGTAGATTATTAGAAAAAAGGTATGATGTGATAGATAGGGTATGAAAAAGTAAGGGGTAAAAGTGGTTTTTTAAAAGAAATGTAACGGACTTTACGGGACACAGTTTCTTCTAAACGTAACAAACTTTTTGGGACGAATGGAGTACTATTTAGTGGGTAAATTTCACGTAAAACTTACACTCTGAAGACAATGAAAAGTAGTGTAAAGCAGGTGACCCAAGTTTTGACACGCTCAGGATCTTGTTCATGTTCTTGGCCCTCACCACTCCGGCAATCGAGGCAATAGCAAGATGCAAAGATTGTGGAAAGCACGAAAGATATAATAAGACCAATGACTGCTCCAATTGCAAATCCTTTCTCGTTCCTCCCCTATATGTATACATTTCAATAAAAAATGATGAAGTTAATAATTGGAGAATTAACTTAAATAGTACTAAAACATAATGACTTTTTTTAAATAGTTTGTGTTTTAGTACTATTTAATGCAAATATTTCTTAATAATTAGGATCCGACCGAGCCCGGAATAAATTAAAAGTTTCCACAATTTCTTTATTTTTTTTATTTTCTCCCAAAACACTTATGCTTTTATTTTAAAAAAACAATTTTTATCTCTATTTTTTCTTACCATATCTACCCCATTATATTTTTTTACTCATAATCACAAATATACACTTTTTATTTCTTCTAAACGTTAAAATAGGAACAAATTATTTCTCCTAAGAATCCCTCCGTTCTAATTCTTTCTTCCCAGTTGACTTTTTCTTATTTTTAATTTTTGGCTTTGACTTCAAATTTTACCCTCCTTAAAAAAAAATTTTGATTTTTTTTTGCAATCATTCAAAATATAGAGTTAGAAGATAATTGGTGTAAATACATGAGAGTATTAATGTCATTTGTCATCTTAGGAGAGAGCATCTAAACAAACCCTTTGGTGTGCAAAATAAGCAAGCACTAGTGCTGTCACATCGAGGGCAGTGACGTGTACTAAAGCGGCACACCAACGTCTAAGTTTGTCACGGGGAACTCCGGCCACGGTCCCCGTCGACGTCCCGGCCGTCGTCGTCCCTTGGGGCTGCCGGCCCCAAATCGAGCGGGTGAACACGTCCAACGTAAACCAGCTTCCATTCTCCAGGCTACTTCTAGTACTCATACTACCCCGGCCTTTGAATTGTAAAGGGACCACCAGATCGAAAATGACGTATGTACCCTTAGCTGTGAAGATCAAAGAGACTGAGATGGAGAGATGGGAAGAGAGGTGACAAGTGTGTGTGACATTTATACTCTCTTCCTCCGCCTAAAATATTTCACATTTATTTTTTCAATATATTTGTACATTTTTATTGATTATTTAATTAAATAACATATTCTTGATACTTCTTGTTTTGAAAATTTTTTATGTAATTTTTAAATATGTGATTTTTTAAATATATTTTTAGATCAATATTTAAATAAAATGAATTGAAAAAACTTGATACTATACACTTTTTCCCTCCTTGAAAAGGTTTCTTGCTTTTTACTAGATTCCTTGTTCGTTTATTAATTTTTAATTTTGAATTTAAATATATTTCTTTAGAATATTTTTATAAATAATACCAAATTTAAGTATTTTTTTCTAGAATGACACTGATTATTTTTTCAATAATGAAAAATTAGTTCCATTTTGTATAATAATTTATTGTACAATTTCACAACTTTTGTAATAAAATTTACATATCTAAAAAGTATATCAAAAGTTTTAGAAAATATAAGAGATAACAAGAATATTTCATTTTATCAAATAATCAATTAAACATAAAAATAAATAAAAGCTTTCAAAATATTTGAATTGTGAAAGATGTAAAACATTGTGGGACGAAGGGAATATTATTTTGAAAAAAATATTATTACCAAATGATCAATTATTGAAAAAAATAATTAGTGTCACTTTAAAAAAAACTTAAATTTGGGACTATTTATAAAAATG